GTCACTCCAGTTGGTGGGTGGCACTCCCTGCAGGCATGAGGTCCACTTGGGCTCGATGGGCATCTGATTTATTTACTTACTTAGCTCAGCCCCCCGGGATAGGAATGAACCAACGCTGTTCTCTCTTACTTCAAGTCGTTCTGTGAGTTCCAGACAAACTAGCGCTCAAATCAATATGGGCAGGAAGAGTACATGAGAGCCTGGAGAACCACTTAAATGGGCTAAGACTTAAATTAGGTAGCTTCCAAATGTGAAGTTCCCAAACTTTTCAGCAGAATGGGCAATTTTTGTTAATTCCCCTTCATGGAATGTTCAGTTTCTAAAGATACTGCCTATTAAACCAATTACATTTATTCAATAAGAATTAATTTACCTTCCTATTTTCTATGATTTGGAAGTATATAATAATGAGGGCTAATATATTTATTGATCCACTCACTATACTAAGAGCACTATATATACTCAGTCAATCTTCACATCACCCTTATGAGGTGGGTTCTTTTATTAGCCTCATTTTACCAAGGAGGGAACAGAGGTAGAGAAAGGTTAAATATTTTGCCCAAGGTTACCCAGCTAGTGTTTAGTGAAGCTGGAATTTGGGCCCAGAAAGCCTGGCTCCAAAACGAGCATTCCCCCAGAGACCAGGTTAGAATCCTGGCTTCCATATTGTGCAGTGCTATACCAGACAGGTAATTTTGCTTCTCCGCACCTCAGTTTCCTCATCCATAAAATGGGAAGAATAAAAGTGCCTATATTGTAGGGTTACTGTGGAGATTAAGTGAGAATGCGTGCTTAGAATGGCAGGCACAGGCGCCTGCCACAGGCATTCAAGGAATTAATTCAAGCAGTGATATCAGCAGCTGCTCTGGGCAGGCTTGGGATGTGAACAGGGAACAGAAATGATTCTGTCCTTTAGGTTCTTTGACCCCATGCAGTTCACAACTCCATGTCATGTGTCAGGCCCAAGCTGTATAGTTTAAAGTAGAACTTGCAGGAAGGCAATCTGACTAGCCCTTCTCCTGCGTGCTTCCAGGACTATTGGTGAACAATCAGCAGGCGTTGCTGGTGAAAAATACAAATTCTTGGTATCCGAATCCTTTGGAGGTGGACCTAGAAATCTGCATTATTCGATTCACTGATGCACCATGGAATCTGTGCTTCACTGAGTCCAGTCTGAACAGGATTTCGTTGATACTTTGGGAACTATCGTGCCAGGATCTCAGTCTATTCATTCCTGCAGCGCCCCAAATCAGAGACCCTAAGCAGAAATCGTGCATTTCAGTACAAGGATAATACAGAGAGTAGAGGTCCTTCCCCAGCAGCGGCCTGGTGAATCAAGAAGCTGCAAGTTTTATGAAAAACGGGCCGACGTCTGGTCAGAGGAGGGAGGCAGGAAATGAAGCATGCTTCCTCCGCCCATACTCCTGCTTGGAGCACTGAGGCCAGGGCCCTGGAGCTGCAGGAAAGATACATGACTACTTCCAGGCCACTCTGTGATTCAACGGGCCTCCTCGAAGTTTGAACTCAAGATCCGCGGGGGCCTTGCAAACCCACGCGCCGTGAGCGGGGCTCCCGAGGTCGCCTAGGCAACGGGCGCGCGCCACGCCCAAGCTCGAAGTCCCGAAGGGAGGAGGGAGCGTGAGCCGCAAGATGTCTCGCGGGGCGGAGGCCACTCTCCCCAGCACCTCCTCCTGGCTCCGCCCCGCGGAAGTGCTGGCCGACGTTCTCGACCGCTGATTGGCCCTCCGTTTGCGGGGCGGAGACCGTGGCAGAGCGGTGCGTACTTCCGTTTGCCCGGTGACATGAAGAAGCAGCGGCGGCTAGGGCGGCGGTAGCGGCGGGAGCCGAGGCTTGCAGCGGGACTCCCCGCTGAGAGCGCGACGCGGCCTTGAGCGGCAGACGGCGCAGTAGGCCGAGGGGGAGGCGCGGCAGCCGCCCTGGCCCGTCATGGAGATGGAAAAGGAGTTCGAGCAGATCGACAAAGCCGGGAGCTGGGCGGCCATTTACCAGGTGCGGGAGCGCCCCGGAGTGCGGCAGGCCCTTCGCTTAGGCCGCGTGAACCGTCCCCTCAGACCCCCGGGGCCCGTTCTCCCACTGGGTCCCGCCCTCCGCCTGGGTCCTGCTGCTTGAGGATTCAATCCGACCGCGGCAGAGGCCGGCCCCCTCTTTGTCCCCCGAGTGGGCCTTCGTCTCTCCCGGAATTCGCATTCCCCTTTGATCCCCCACTTACCTCATATCCTCCAGCCCGGTTGACCTCTTAAGCCTGGAGGCCGCCGGTCTGTGCTCTCACCGCCAATCCCTCGCACCCCGACCCCGCCCCCCTGCCTATCCACTCTTTGTCCCCTGGGGTTGACAGAACACCCCCCACTACTTCCTTTTCTAGACTGGACCACCTCAGACTCTCTTCCTTTGTCTCCCTAGGGGAAAGGGTTACTCCCCCTCCCTCCTTCACACTTCCTTTCCCCTGGTCTCAGTGTGCGTCGAGAGTCCCAAGGATGACAGTCCCCTTCCCCCTTCCTGTTCATTCATTTAATGGATATGAATTGGCGTGCTTTTTCCGTGCTAGGCACCGCTTAGGCGTTGGAAGTGGTGTTTGCTGAACAAGGCAGACAAGACCCTATCCCTCGCGGAGCTTAGAGTCGAAGAGGGCAGTTAGACACACAAGCAGATAATTTCAGATGGTGACAAGGGCTGTAAAATATCGAACAGGGTGGAGAGCAACAGCGTGGAAGGTGGGCTCCCTCACCGCGGAGAAGGGGATCAGAGCAGATCTGTCAGAGGAAGAGACATTTGCTCTTTGAGCTGAGTGAGGAGCAGCAGCAAGCCATGAAAACAGCTACACGCGAGATGTATTCACTTGATCGGAGCCAAAATATTATTACCCTTTCAGGCAGGAAACAGGGAGGAAACAGGGTTAACGTTTTTACCTTCTCTAAAATAGCATCTTTCCGGGACGAGCATCTTATCCTTTGGTCATGGCCGAGGTGATTGGGTCCTCCCAGGCCTCATCTCTCGTGGGTTATGGTGGTTCATAAAAGTTAGGAAGGTAAGGTTTCTCAAATATCTCTAAAACGTCAGATTAAAAACACGAAGCGGTCTGCTTTTACAAGCAGCTAAATCCTCTAAAGAAAATAAATACGTGCTACTGATTAAATGTCATTGCGGGGGTTGTAAGGATTAACCAAAACCACACTCAGAATTTTAAATAACTGATGTACAGAATAGAGAGATTTTGTTACTTGTGCAAAGGGAGAAGGCAGTTTATTCTGTTTCCAGTTTACAGGCTCAAAAGGCAAATTGTGAGATCCATCAGCTGGTAGTATTAAAATCTATTTTGAGCTCCACTTAAAAAGGAAAAAAGCTTTAAGCAGTTCTTTGGTATGCTTGACTAACAAAGCCTTTTTTTGGCAGGCTTGGTTTCACGTGGATTTTGCATCAAGTTTCTTTGACAGGATCCTTTTAACTTGTACTAGAATGTATATTAGTTTCTGGTAGGCTAATATTTATAACCCCTGTAATCTGTGTAAGTATGATTGAAAAATATATAAAATTTGCATTCCCGTCTAGTCTGAGTTATTTGAATAAGTACCACTAGTGACTTCGAGAATGTACAGACATTTTTCTACATCATATTTGATGCAACAGAGTCTAAAGTGGCTCTAAATGAAAAAATCGTGGGTCAGAAGTGCTGGAGTTGGTTATGGTGTACTCCATCACAAGTAGAGGTGGCCTCCAGGAGGCAGCGGGTAAATCTTTTATGCCAAAATTGACTGCGTTGGCAGCAACAAATTTATATTCTAAAAATTCTGCATTTGATTTCTTACTGTTTTAAGCCCGACCATGGAGCATGTTGTCCTTCAATTAATTTCCATTTGTTCTTAAGTTTCTCTACCATATTCGAATCCTAAGAATCAGTCAAGATTGCTCTATGTTGCGATTACTCCAGCTTCTTAATAGATTGCTATGTACCTGGAGGTGGTTTCTTTTGATCTTAGAGAGTTGTCCACTACAGATTTTCTCACCTGTATTTTTCGTTTCTAAAATTGAAATCAGAAGCTCTCCTTTTGAATTTAAAAGTGGCTCTTTATTGAGTAACTGTGGCATTTTTAAAAACGTAGAGTTCAGATGACCTTGAATCTAAAGTGGCAAAATTTCCAAAGCATGTGTCATTTTACCAGAACCATTTTTTTTTTTAATTGTTGGGAAAAAATGTAGGTTAAATAATTAAAATTTAATTTATAGCATGTCACTTGAGCAGCCTTATACAAAGTCAGTTTGAGCTTGCTCAGGCTGTTGTGATTTTTAAAATATGTTATTTTTGCTTAAAAATTTGTAAACAAGGCAGTGCATTTATTTCTCACTATACTAACTTCTTTTCTAACTAGAACAAAAAGATGCAAAAACTTGGAAACAATTGGGAAACCAAACAAAGGGTGAAGTAGGCTTTTGAATGCTGAAGAATGTGGTAGTTTAGAAAACAGTGTCAGGCAAAGATTTGGTGCTAGCTCAGTCTGCTAAAGTGAGCATAACTGTGTTTTTAATTGTTAATGCTAAGAAATAGCATAGATGCTAATAAGCATTTAGGCCTACAAGAAGTCAGCTTTGATAGCACATGGAGATAGATGGCTTTAAAAATTGTTTTCTATCATTTAAACGATTGCCTGGTTTTGAAAAGTGGAAGTATTACTTAGCCTGGAGTTTGAGTTGGTCTGACTGTCCAAAAGAGAGAGAACACAGGGAAAAGGGATTGGTTTTTGGAGCTAGAATGAGAGAAGAGAGGCCTTGAATGAATGAAAACAGCTGATAAGCTGCCTTCCATCATATAGTTTAAGGTTGGGGTCAGGTGTTTTGCTTTCTCCCCTCTCTAAATTCTTTGATTCTCTGACACTGTTCACCATTTTTAAGTGTGAATGATTTGATTGTTTCGGATAAAGGAGGTTACGACTGCAGCTTGTGACTTGAAGGCAAGATTTATTCCATGTTAGAGGCAGGCTTTGTAAAACGGGCCACTCTTCCAATTGACATTTGTTTTTATAGCTGCCTTCATTATGAAATATGATCTAATGCCGGTCTAGGTTAAAACCATGTTATAACCATAGTTCACTGAAATTCCTCACTGCTATATACAGCTCATGTTGTGAGAGGCCAAGTAGATGGATATTAAACTTTCCCAGTAATGTCTATTTAAATGCCATTCTCTTCAGAGAAAAACTATTTTGTGAAGAGGAGACAGATCTATACACTATGACTCACTTCAGTTAAAAAAATAAAGACAAACGGAAATGACATGGAGAGACTGAGAAGTTCCAGTCATCTTGAGTGACCCATTAGATCTCCATGTTCTTGTTTAGCCTTGGTTCGAGTAAACTAAATTTAGGTGTCTGATCACCACTTTGGAAATGGTGTAAAGACCTTTGTAATTGTCTGAACTCATATTAATTTAACTAGGAGCACAAGGACGTATAGTGGAGGGAACTTTTTGCTATCATTATATGTTTGACATCACTGACGTATTTATAGGAATACTTCGGTACTTCTGGAAATATGCAAACACAGGTCAACTCGGGGATGTTGGTAATGCAAATAATTTTCAGTTACCGATTATCTACCATTGGGCTCCATGGCCTCCCACAGCATTTTGCATTTCAGCATGAATAGCTCCCCCAAACCTATAAAAATCCCTGGTATTGAATAATGTAATGGAATATATACTGAATTTCATGATATAGAAATGAATAAAAAATTTCCTGTAGGGGTTTTTCAGACTAAACTGCTGGAATAATGACTGTGCCTTTTTTTCTTTTTCTTTTCTTGTCTTTTCTTTTTTTTTTGTATTGTCTGTTTTCTAATTTTTTAGATCGTAGAATCCTTCTGGTAATTTTCATTCTATGATGTGCTTTTAATCGCAGGTACTTTTTCTTAAGCCTGTATGTTATTTTGTACACTGGCATTTTCTCCCTACAGTGTTTGTGTTAAGTCGTTCGGGGCAAGCAACAAGTACTGACAAATAGGCTAGACACGTTTATACTGCCCGTGTTCAGGAAAATGGGAAGTCTCGCCCGGTCATTGTTTCCGAGACAGTGTAGTTTGGTACCGGTCACTCGGTGTGCATGTTTTGAGTACCCAGGAATGCTGGGGACTTTGAAGGAGTTCCTGATTCCCTCCACCACATTTCGTTGATTGGCCACCGTAGCATCCTTTCTACCATCCCAGTGGTCTGGGTTCCCAGATTTTGCCTATAATACCATAGTCATTTCTAGGTTCATGCTGCAGAAATGAGTGAAACCAGTTAAGTATTAATCGGGCCCCTCAGCAGTCTCTCTATATCTCCCACTACCCCACCGTGCGTATTCCTCACATTATTGCTAGTAATTGGGTTAAAAACAGCCCTGAACCTGTCGCTCCTCTGTTTAAGTCCTTCTGATGCTTTCATAATACCAGTAAGGTCCAAACTCCTCAGCATGGCAGCCGGGTTCCAGCCATCTCCTGCCATGTACTTTCTATTCTCGCCACACTCATCCTCCTCCGTCATTCCTCTGTACCGTGGCTCTGTACTTTGTCTGGCCTGCCTTTCCCACTCACACGGGCCTCCTCGCACTAGACCTTTGCTCTCACCTTGCATTTCCATACAACCTCATCCATGCCGCCTCTGGAGCCCTGCTCTCACGGGAGCGAGCGGTTTCTTTCTATCCCTGTCTGTCTCCTCCAGTCTGAGCTTCGGGAGGTCAGCTCGTCCATCTTGCTCATTCATCTTGGTGTCCCCTGCACCTGGCACAAAGTAAGTACCTAACAGATGCTGGGATTGTCAGCACTTTGCCAGGCCCCGACAGTGTAAAGACGAACAAGACATGGTTCCCAACTCCCATTCTAGGGGGAGAGAATGATAGAAACAAATAGATTAGCCCTCATTAGCCCCGATAGCAGAGGTCACTCTGGGAGAAAACCACCACGTTGTGGGCCATGGCCTGGCAAGGCAATTTAGTCACCTCCTTGGTGACTCGGAAGAAAGA